AAACCGCTACCTGAAAGTAGGATCGTAAACACAATTGTCTTCAACCGACAGTTGAATTTCAACTTTCGGTTGGAAAACCAGCGGTTCAGTTTTACTTTTATGCAACCGGCCCTAAGTGCTACATAAGCTTGTCCAGCAGCATACAGTCGCGAGCCTAGATAAATGACTGCATGATCGACTGTAAAACCTTGCCTCTTGTGGACGGTCGAAGCCCAACTCGGGAAATGGAAAACTGTTATGAAATTATTGCATTGTCATCGGTCCTTGAGAAGCTTCAAATTACTCAAACTTCTGGAAATTGGCGAAAATAATGCTCAAAAATTCAGGCGAAACTAATAAAAAAAATGGGTGAGGTTAGAATTATCTTAAATTACACCGTCGACCTGAGATAATCGGGGACTCGAGAAAGATACAAAAATTAGGCTTAGAAATAATTTTGCATCAATTTTTTAGATAAAAAACGATCAAAATAACCTATTATATTATTTCTGGCCGACAGTGTACTTGACGACCTGACCTCAAAAATGGTGAATGTGCTATGCACTTTATAATCTAAAATAATTCAACTTCAACAATTTTTATCTCACAACTCTTAGGATTTAAGAGGCCCATTAATATATTTGTTTGGGGCGGTGAGATATGTAACATATCAGAAATTTAACCAATTTAGCGGAAGTCCGATTTCCATAAGGAAATTGCGTGGTTCTTTTAAGCTAATCGCATCTTTGAAATTGTTACATTTAAATATTCCAGGACATAGGTATTTTAGTAATTAGTTGCTCTCTTAAAGTCCAAATTTATCAACTTTGGCATTTTTGTCAAAGAAACACGTAGCACGATTTCTCAACGTTTTTCGTCGTAGCCAAGTCCTAGGAACATCGCTATCATTTTTCCAATCACCCTGTAAAATTCCATTAATGTCACGGCGTAACGCTACCCTCATCCAGATCCCTGCTTAGTGCCCGACACGACAACCGCTTCTTCTTCAGGGACATTCGCAGTCACGTTTTGCACCTTTAAATGCCAGGATAGCTAACAAAAACTGCTAATTAACAAGCAAAAAATAATCCATCCATTTTAGTTAACAGGACAGTTATTCGAGTCCTATAATGAAGTGAGAAGCGCTTCAAGAGGGAATGTAATAGCCTCGTGAGACAGCCGCGCCGACGGATGGGGAATTCTATTAGCAGTTTATCAGGACGTTTTCTGTTTTGGGATAGCAGGAAAGATACGGGGAGGGTAGATGTTCGATGCAAATGAATAACTTGTTCTATCTAAGCGATAGTGAGAAAGTATATTTTAAATGTACAAAAAATGTTCGTCCTTGCCATAGTACCATCCTGTGTTGAAGGTTTATAAAGATCTGATCGGTGCTTGCTAACGGGCCACAGATCAGCCAGACCAGACAGACAAGCCAACAGAAATGAGTGAAATGGTTTTTCACGACGTACGTCATACTACGAGCCCCTTCCCACTTCAGTTGGCACACTTCAAGATTTGTACCAAAATATGCCTTTATAGACTAAACATAACGAAACTATTTACTTCTAAAACAATTTATTTTCTCAAAAACATTTTAGATACACGCTAGTCGTAAAAAATACATATTTGAAATCACTTAGACCTATAACTAATAGAATATCTGAACAAATAAACAATGTGCGAATAAATGCGCGAAGTTAACAAAGCAACAATTGAAAGATTACCATTGGGTAACATCACCTTTATTTTTTATTATGGCTGAAATTATTTGGGGCATAGTGTTAACCAAGTTTTGGCAAAAATTTGGTGTAAAACAATCCCATATTTCTTGAAGCTTTTGTCTCAGTTCGGTGATTGTACGAGCAGGATGTTGTCGTAGAACCTTTTTCATCCCGTGCCACAAAGTTTCAATAGGTGACAGATCTGGACTGCTAGAAACCCATTTCAAAAGTGGTACATTATTTTCTTCCATCCAATTTATAGCGTTTTTTGAGGTATGGCACGCTGCACCATCTTGCTGAAACCCAAAATCTTGGCCGCATGTCATATATTCTTCCATCACTGGTAAAAGCGATTCTTCCAAAATTGCCAAATATTTGTTTGTATCCACATTTCCATCAATAAAAGTTTTCCCACTCCTTTTGATGACATACTGCCTCAAACCATAATGGATGCTGGAAATTTCACTTTTCTCTTCAGACAGTCAACATGGAATGCTTAATTTTTTTGCGAATAACTCTACTGCGACAGTCACCAACACAAACTTCGAATCGGGCCTCATCACTCCATTGTATTGCACACCATTGTTGAGGTGTCCATTGTCCATGTTCTTTAGCCCATCTAAGCCGATTTGTCTGTTGCAATGGAGTTAATAGTGGCTTTTCTTTGGCCTATAAACAAGTTGTGCAACTTTAGGGTTTTTACTTCACTTTTTTTTATAAGAAAACTTGCCTTGCAAGAGCTAAATCCCAGTTTGGGGGCCTCTCTATTAGTTGTGGACCTCGAGATTCTCCTTCCACCAGCGTCACTCCACAGAGCACTTAGTTGTGAATAATTGGCTCGTCTGTTTTTCACGATTATTCTTCTTAATGCTCTTCGGTCGGCATTTGTGATATTACTTTTTTTCATATATCGTGGCTTTATATTAACTGAACCAGTTACGTTATACCTTCTAACAATATTTCTTACTCTGTACCGCGATAAGTCTAACAAAGTTGCAATTTCTGAGTTTGATTTCCCAGAATTAAAAAATTTAATTATCAGTAACCGAATTTTCTCACTAATAACCTTTCCTCTACCCATTTTGAAAACCTTAACTACCCAAAACTGTTTTAAACGTATTCCGACAGCTGTGATTAATAAAAACAATTGTCATGGCTTTTATTTTTCACAGCCACCTATACGTTATAGACCTATTTTGCATTGAAATGAAAATAGGTTGATATGCTGTAATTGCAACATGTGTTATTTCTATGCTGCAAATTTGATTAGGGAGTGATAAAGTTGGTGTTTTCTACTATATACTTCTATCAAAATATTCATTGTTAATATTTTAAACCTATAACACCCTGCTACATTTTCATTATTTGTGTTTGATAAGAAAAAAACTAAGATTTCAATAGTTGGGCCAACTGAAGTAGGCAGGGGCTCGAACATCCAAAAACATATCTCATTTCAGAAATGTTACGCAATTACAATACTTCCTTACCAGTCAGTGACTTGGGTCAAAGTTATATTCTGAAAATACTGATACTAAGTTTCTAGATGATTCATTGAGATGGTGCTTAAACAAAGCCAAAGTCAAATGAAACTTCGTAGATTTTAATGAACGCACCCTATATGTGATTCGACAAAGGCAACTGTCATTAAGGAACATTTGGATATAGTAGTTATTTGTTAAGTGAAAGCAAGTTACCGAAAATTGATAAATTGTCAGAAATTCCGGCTTAAGCTCCTAAATCGTCGTTTGTATCTATTATCGCTTCCATAACTGGGGTTTAATTACAAAGTTTGACAGAACTATAATAGATCCTTACTGGTTGTATCGCCATTTGCTCTACACATTAATTATATTTAGCTTCGTATCCTCTTTATAATAAATGTGATTAGTTTGGTCAGCGATACTGTAGAATAAAATTGTATGGATAATGTCGTTCTGCCCTCTAATAAAACGCTCTAGTTTGCTTGAAGCTTGGTTTGACCATATATTGGCTTAAAAGCTAAATGATACAAAAGTTTTTTGAAATACCTCATATCTGGAGAACAAGGGAAAATTCGACTAGGTCCGTCTTTGTATGTCCAAGCGATCCGTATTACGATTACTCTTGGTTGAATTCTTGTTTCTTCTTGAGTTATGGAAAAAGAAGGCAAGGATAAAGGAAAGAAAAAAGAGAAAAGTCAAACAGAAGGAGGACCGTCTGTTGAAGGAGTGTGCCTCGGCATTGCTACCTAGGATTCGGGAAAAGCAAAAGCAGTTTTTAGGATCCATTGATCTGAGAAAATTTAAATTTGGTTGACCCCAAAATCTACTATTTAGTTTTGCTCTTAGTGTGAACAGCGATCCATATAAGAGCTTGCTCCACTGTGTAGTCCACTAACTCACGCGATACTGCGTTGGTATTCAATTTTTTTTATTATTCTGGTGACATGTCATTTCATCTAGACCGGTAAATCGCAAAGGCAATTCTGGTGGCTCACAACATATTTTAAAAAGGTATAAGAATCATAGAATCTTCCGTAAATTTTTTAAATTCTATAATAAACACAAGCAGCGGCAACACTGCGGTGAGCGATCTGTTCGAGAACGATCTCAACTACTTTGAACAGAATAAATACGCAAGGCGTAGCGACAATGCGCTCAGTTTAAAACTGAACGTCACAAGGTCCAGTGGTTGGGTTAGAGTTGGCGTGCAATTAAAACATTATGAGCAGTAGTAAGAAGATAAAGACGTACCATTTCCATTCGGAATGGGAAGAACAATATTTCTTTACAGAAGTTAAAGGTAAAAATGTATGTTTGTTATACATCTGTTTCCGTTTCGTTCTGCAACCAGAACGGAAAAACAGGAACAATTAAAGAGATCAGTTAATTGGACAACAGACAATGTCTTTAATAACAATCGACAAAAGTAAGACTGCAACTGAAGCATCATACCGTGTGTTCCAGATAGTTACACAAAAGAAGAAACCTTATGAAGACGGGGAAATGACAAAACAGGGGTTTTTAGAAGCTGCAGATTCATTATTTGCCAGCTTTAGAAATAGAGACGAGATGTGTCTGCTATAAAATCTATGCAACTTTCTGCTAATACAGTGATGAAACCAGTATAAGTGCTGAGCAATGACTGTGCTTATTTTTCATTGCAGCTGGATGAATCCACAGATGTCGTTGACACCTCTCAGATGACCGTGTTCGTCAGGATGGTCTTTAGTGATTTTACAATTGAAGAAGAACAAGTTTATTCAAGTTTTCTTCTTTTGAAAATAGTACTTCTTCTGAGAAAATTCCAATGTCGAAAATGGTAGGCTTGACTACCGTTGGTGCTCCAGCTATGGTGGGTCGTGATAAGGGTCTCGTGGGGTTATGTTGTAAAGATAATAGTTTTCCGCAATTTCTCTGTTACATTTTCTAAAACTAAACAACTTTATCAAATTGATAGTAAAAATTATGAACAATATTAGAGCTCAAGCGTTACAAAGAAGATTATTCACAACCTTGGCCGATTAAATTGACTGTCAATACGGGGAACTACCTCAGTCCGATGGTTAAGTAGGGGACGAGTGCTGAAACGTTTTAATGATATCATATCTGCCATAGTTCCATTTTTCAAACAACGTGACTAATCGATCCTGGAACTGGAAAATTTAATCTGGCTTAAAGATCTTGGTTTTCTTGTTGATATTACACAAAAGTTGAATAAACTTAATTTGCAGTTTCAGGGGAGAGACAAAGAACTAGCAGAAATTATTTCTGATATAAAAGCATTTATCAAAAAGCTTGAGCTTTGGGAACAAAACTCAATCGATGGCGATACTAGACATTTCCCTGTTCTTTCAGAAAAGATATATCAAAGTCCATTAGAACTATATGACAGTAAATATCATGTAGAAATAGGGTCTAACTGGAAGGATAACTTCAGAAATCGTTTCAAGCATTTCAACGAAATTGCTATAGTGGTGCAATTTATTGTTTCACCCTTCATGGAAATTGATATCCAACAGTTTGCAACTTCTGTTACGCAGAATTTTAGCGAAGACATCGCTGCGTCAGAAATGGAAGTGATTGCGTTTCAAAATGATTTAGCTTTAAAATCATAGTCTCAAATACAAAATGTATCTGGTCTTCAGTAAGTAAAGATAAATATTCAATTTTGTCGTATTGCCTTGAAGGTGAAAGAGTTATTTAGTTCAACCTATTTGTGTGAATCTTCTTTTTCAAATATGAAGTTTATTAAAAACAAATACCGTAATCGACTTACAGATGAACATTTGGATAAAATTTTATTAAAGTGACGGTATCAAATTATACTCCAAACATTAAAAAAAATGTCAGTAAGTCTGAGTGTCAGGTTTCTCATTGAACACGCATTTTTTATCTGGACAGGTTTTTGTTTAAAATAGTACGTTGCTTTTTTAGTTGTTAGTTACCTTTATTAAACCGTATGTGACATGCCATTGTCGCTGACCAAAAATGTTGTTTATTTTTCAAACACCTACGCTTGGTAGGAATGGATATAGTTGTGTAGTATGTATAAGTTATTAGTTTATTTAAGTATTGTATTAGTAAAATAAACACATGTATGTCACATACAACTATGTATAAATTCATTTAAGTTGGCTTACATTGCATACGACTAGGTAGCTCACAGTTTATTTCAAAATTACCAAAATAGCTCAACACACTGAAAAAATTGGCGACCACTGATCTAGTACCTTAGATGAATCATCGTGAGGTCTCAGTAAAGATACTCACTCGAGTCATACTCTGGGTTGTTAAAGTCACATGTCCCTTTTTTCAACAGCCCGTATGGGGGAATATTCTTAATACTCTAGCACAAAAATGCATTTAAAAAAAACTGTTTTTTGATCATCTTATACACACCATGAAATAATCAGATGAAAATGACTTAGAATACTGCTCCATACAGGCAGTTGAAAAAAATGGGCATTATTCAGTCTTGATAATTTTACAGTACATTCTGTTTTGCACAACTTGCAGGCTTCACACTATACATTTTGGGAAGGCAAAATTAATACATGAGTGAATGATTTGCTGCTCCAACAAACGGTGTGACAATCTATCAAAGCTCCAAGCCCCAATGCTAAGTGTATGTTAAGTACGTTTATAGATATTTCAACAATCATGTACAACTACCGTCGAAGTAGTAGGGGAACTATGTACATTTGGAATTCAAAACTACTCTGAACTTAGCATTGACAAACTGTTCGTGACGCCCATGTTTAACATTAAGGCAGTCATCCGTGACCGAAGAATCAACAACTGTTACGTCGCTCCATTACGGTAACGCGTTCATATTTAATAATTTAATCCTGTGAAAATTAAAATGTGTGACACAGAAAGAAACGTTCTAGAATGTATCAGACATCTTCTAGAAGGGGTTACAATGTTGTCCCTAGGACTTATAGATCTCCTATATATAGTTCAATGTAAAGCATAGTTAGTAATGAAAAGCAACTATATGCTAAATACATTTCAAGTCAGATAAAAACATAACAATAGGCTACTTGACTTATATCTAATTTCAGAGAATAAATGAGTATTCTTTACAGGCAAAGGAAATATATCGATTTCAACATTTAAGTGTTCAAGATGAATATATGGTATAGGTCCAATTCAAAGAAATATATTTCTTATTTTTAATAAAGTGTAAACCATGATGTGATGTTATGCAAACAAAGAAACCTCATCCGTATATCCTAATCAACGTGAAATGTTAACGTTTTCTCATTTTATTATATTTTCTCATGCACGTCGGTTGAAAGCAGAAACACAAATTTGCTGAAAATTGTCACACTGATGGTTGGTAGCTTTTTTGCTTTCAGCCCTGATTTTTGCTCTACTGAGCAGAGGAACGTCACGACTTCCATGTATACTAAGTGACATATAAATCCGAACACCCAGTTTAAATGGTTTTATTTTAATAAAAGTTGGTGAATGTATTTATCTTACTGTAAATAACAAGTGAAAAAATTTTCAGCCTTATCAGTTGGACATTCCGGTTTTTATACTGCTTTTTTTTAATTCGCTAACGTTCTAAAAATGAATATTTCAGCCGCAGTAAAGAATCAACGTTGGCGGATTTTGGTTCTTGACATCCATTACGATCGGTTGCGATGCCTAAAGTACGGAGACCTGTACGATTTCGTCAACTTAGTGAGTTTGATAGGGGCCGTATAGTGGGACTTCGGGAAGCTGGACTTTCTTTTCGGGCAATTGCAGTTAGAGTGCAAAGAAGTGTAGACACTGTGGTTAGGTGTTGTCAGGCATGGCTTCGAGAAGGCCGTACGCAAAGAGCAAGGGGCACTGGACGCCGCCGTAGAACAACAGACCGTGAAGATCGCCGCCTTAGATATTGGCCTTAAGGGACCGTTTCTCCACTACCAGGTCCATTTCAAATGAATGGTTTGCAAAACACGGAAGACCTATTGACATGCGAAGTGTTTACCGACGAATGAGAAGTTTTGGTTTGTTTTCATACCGGCCACACTGGGTCCTCCCTTTAACTCGAGAACACCGACGTAATCGCCTTGAGTGGTGCAGACAACGGTCACTCTGGGATCAGGAATGGAACAGTATTGTCTTTAGTGACGGGTCTCGATTTTGTTTAGGCATGCACGATGGTCGTGCCAGGGTTAGAAGCCGACGTGGTGAAAGGAGGAATCCACAGTTTTTTGTTGAAAGACATGTTCATCACACTGTTGGAGTTATGGTTTGGGGTGCTATAGCTCATGGTTCCAGGTCACCTTTAATCTTCATCGGAGGTAACATGAACGCGCAGCGTTATATCCACGAAGTTCTAGAACCCCATCCTTTACCCTATCTTGACACCCTGGCAGATCCAACTTTCCAACAAGATAATGCCCGACCACATGTTGCAAGAGTCACAATACACTTCTTTCAACATAATGATGTCACATTGTTACCATGGCCACCAAGATCTCCCGACTTATCCCCAATTGAGCACGTGTGGGATATGATGGGTAGGAGATTGCTCAATTTGCAACGTCCTCCTCAGACTCTAGAAGCACTTCGAGAGGAGTTGGTGGTTGCCTGGAATGAGATACCACAGGAGGACATTGACCACCTGATCAGAAGCATGCCTAGGCGCGTTGGAGAATGCGTAGCACATCAGGGTGCATCCACACATTACTAAAGGTCAAAGGGCTTTAAAGCAGTGCAATCATTTTGAAATTTTTATCATTTACTTATTATGCTTCATTAAGTACTTATACAAAATTTTATTAAAAAAAAAAACATTTAAACTGGGTGTTCGGATTTATATGTCACTTAGTATATGTGCAGTGCATCTGATATGACAGACATAAAGAGAAAAAATAAGTAATACACTTACACAATCGTCCCTTTTCAGAAATAATTCAAAGCTAAGCTCATATGTCATAACTTTTCAATAAGTTTATCTAATATTGTATTTCTTCTTACATATCTGCAAAGGATCGTACGCTGACGACGCCGTAGAGTACGTCCAACTTAAACCAGGCAATAAAATCTGCACAGTAAAATGTAAAGTATGCCCAGAACATCAGGCATGCTCCAAGCAATACACATTGTTGCGTATACTTATTTTTCGATGCACTATAATCCAAAGCTTTCCTAGGGTTTTTTATCGATATGTTTTTAAATCCTCGGACGATACAACAACGATAATTTTATATATTTTTCATGTAAACTAGTAGAAGTCATGTTTATACGAGTATGTTTAAAACTTTGAGCGGTTATGCTGTTGTCAGATGCTGTTTACAAATGGTATGACGTAAGGGCACATTAATATGTGCCAAACAAGACGGGCGTTTTCGTCTGTCTAAGAGGAATATATTTTAAAATGAAACTTATACGGTCTTTACTCGGTCTTTAAGATCTGGAAAAATATAGTATTAATTTTTTTTGTCTAATAGAGCTAATATTAACTATTCAAGACCTACCTAAAAAAAGTATCAACATTTTCAAATATTCACCTTAAAACAATAATTATTATTATTCAGGTTATTCTATTAGTTAATCAGCAGTGACCATAAAGCCAATTACAGGCATCAGTTGCAGAAATTTTGCTGAAGCTATCCAGCAGTATAAATTGCTGCCCCAGTATTCCTGGCTGCAAGTAGCAGTAGCAGCGAGGGTGGGATTTTCTGGCACATGGCGCGATCCGCTAATTTCTCCTCGTTCAACTTTTTGCCAGGCTTTATTGCTATTCCGTGTTACGCCATCATTAAATAATTCAATAAGCCTGAATAGAGAGCTTCCTTCTTGCGCAGAGTCGTGGTTCGGAAATTAATGGAAAAGTCCCGTCTCATTGTACCAGAAGCCGAGACGTTGAGTCAACTGTAATAATTAGGATAACGTCACATAAATTGATAAGTAGCCTTATTTCCAGCAGTCACATAGTTTGGAGCCAATATCGATCTGTTACACATGCGGAGTATCGAAAAGTATTGAATACACTCACCATAAACCAATATTAAAACCACAGGTTCCTTATTGCTATTAGAATGTGAATATTTCGGTTCATTCAAATCCGATTCGTAATGATGATATAGATAATGACGCTCATGGTACCTTTCAACCCTGGATGCTGAGCCGGACTGTCCCATTCAGATTTTGGAACTTGAAAGCACGGTTATCTCAAGACCTTAGTATATGAGTTGCTGGAAAAATTGTTACAAGAGCTATACGCTGTGCAAAAGAAAATTCCAACTTCAACGATATCCTGTACGAGTATGTTTGGCCCTCTGTGACTTATAATCTACTCAGCAATAAGAATAATTATTTGCTATTTTTTATCTTAATAATTTTCAGAGTGTTAAGTTTACGAACTAGACTTACTAGCATTTATCGGGGCACAACTCCCGAACACTTCCGTTTAGTTTTCGAATTATGAGAGATCAATTATACGCGGTAATCGTATGATTGAAAGCAAATTTATCGTATTTGACAGTCGACACGGCTATTATGTAGAAAACCTATAAACCGTCGAGAAAAAACAACGGAATGTCATCTAGCAGACTAGGTAATTTTTAGGGTTCGAAAAGTTCATTCCATGTTTGATCGCTACGATCGCTGT